TGACAGTAGGTGCCAGTGAATCCTTTGTTGCATTCACAGGTGAATTTTCCACCTGCTTGGCTCTTGCATTTTCCATGAGGACCACAGACATTTGAAGAAATATAACGAACTCCTTCTGGTGTGCTGTTAGAAGCCACTGCTACTGTACAGCTGTCGATTACTGCAGAAAAACAGAAGAATTGAGTGAGGGCTGCCCATTCCATCTGATCTCTTCAGCTAATCGCAACATTTTTATTTCCAGAGAGGGAAGTTTAAAAGACATACGTAAGCTTACAGCTTTAAAATAAAAGCCCTATACCTATTATTTACGCATAAAAATCATCACAGCATCTTATCTGAAGATTGCCAGACCCACTTTCCAGTCTGTAATATATTAAGCCAAAGTGGCTTATTTAAAACATATTTATATTTTGCTATCTTTTAAACAGCTACTATTTATAAATATTACTCATCTTCTCATTGAAATAGAGGCTATTTATAAAAATGACTCTGCTTATACTTTTGCAGCTACATTACTTTGGCTTTGGTAGGGGACAGGAAGAAACAGTTTTCAGTCATTTTTGCTCACCTTCACAAGGAGTTGTGCGGCAGTGGTCTTTCAGGTGGGAGCAGTTCTTGCCTTCGTAATCTTCAGGGCAGTTACAGAAATAGTCCATAGCAAGATTGAAGCACTGGGCACCATTCTGGCAAGGATTTGGCTCACAGTAGTCTATATCCAGCTGCAAGCAGTGTAGAGAAAGGAAAGAGGAAGCAAAGGGGGGGGAGGGGACCATTGAGGGAAGGGAAAGACTGAGTGAGACTGAAGTTTTATCATAGTTTTCCTTCAGTATGACAGGCAGACACTGGAGAATCTGACCTTTTTATCTACTGCCTCAATGACTTGTTCATAACATACAGAGTTTAGTTAGACTTGCAGCTATTTCAACCGACAGCACACATGATATTGAACAGCCACTGAAAGTTAATAGTTAGCATGCAACAGAACCTGACATGCAAACACTTGCGATCTGTTTAACAAGAAAGAATCTGCAGCAGCCCACGAGGGCTTTTTGTTGCTTTCTCCTTCCCTGCTCTTCTCCCCTCCCCCACAAGATATATACTAATCAGTCACTTTCTTGGCAGACTGACAATGATATCAAGTACAACTTATATTATGGTTCACTGGATGCAAGGTATTCAGTGTACAGATCCAAAGTGCTGGTAGAAACACCACCGGCTGAGGGCCTGCTTTTCACCCATGCTTCTTACCTGACAGAGGTTTCCTGAGAAACCAGCAGGACACAGACATTGGAATCCATTGATTTCATCCTGGCAGTGACCCCCATTCATGCAAGGGTTACTTGCACATTCATTGATGTCTTTCTCACAGTGATCTCCTGCATAGCCAGGTGAACAGATGCACCGATAACCATTAACCAAGTCCTGGGAAGAAACAAGAAAATTTAAAGTTATGTTTCTTTCCTCTATCTTTAAATATTTTTATTAAAGAAGAATAAAAGAAATATATATCCTCTATGCTGTCTATTACCAACATAAGATACTAGCTCAAATTAAAACTAGGTAGTAATAATTGGAAGGGAGGGGAAGAAGAAGGGAAAAGAATTAAAACAAACCATCTATACACACAGCCAGTAAAGGCTTGTGTTTGTAGTTTTGAGTAGAACACATTGATCCACATTTTACAACGGAATACCTATGTTTACAATAGATAGTTTGCACAAGCATCTCATTCACTGGTTGTGAAAGAGTCCTTTTACGCAGTCGTTTTTCTGCCCTCATTGTTCTACACATATACCCCTACATGCTATAACAGGACAATCCTTCCTCCCAACTCAAAGAAACAACAATTTATGCCAGTTAATTGCTATTTTCTACACAACTTGTGTTTAGACTCAAATGTTTCAGTTACTGTTGCAAGTCTCTGGGAAACAGTAAAGTAAAACCAGAATGGCTTACCCGGCAGGATCCTCCATTCTGACATTGCCCACGACAATCATTAATATCTGTAATAAAATTAGTATGTTAGCAAGCAAAAAATCTATTTACTGTAGAAACAGAGTTCAATTTCTTTAAAACTGCAGTAGATAAACCTTCTGTCAAGTTTCCTGCACACCTTCCTTAAGATAAGGTTATTATAATGGGTGGGAACCTCTTGCAATACTTCTAGTAGAAGCAGGAAAACTTCACATCATTGTTTAACTCATTTTTATCAGAATATAGCTAGGTTATGGACTAATGAGTTTGATAAAATTGTGTATTTTCATTCCACACCAACTACTCCCTTTTTAAAAACATCAGCTGCTGGGACTCAGCCTGATGTTTAAATCAGAGCTCAGAATTCAGCGGAATATATACATTTACACAGACAATTTAAGAAACCCAAGGATAGAGACACTCACTTATATCACAGTTGTGGCCAGACCAGCCAGTAATGCAGTCACAATAGTAGCTGCCAATCAGGTTCCTGCAGGAGTTGGCATTGACACAGGGTTTGCCCTCACATTCATTCGCATCTGAAAAACAATGTGAATGGCCAAATGCAGGGCTTGTAGAGTAGGAAGAGGGGAAAAAAAGTCTAGCTCTGTTTTCACAGCAATAATCAACAGTTCATTCAGATCTAAGGAACTTATACAGTGTGGGTTAGTGTGACTTGAATGAACAAAAGTCGATCAAACATCAGTCTTTTAAGCCTATTTCAATTTCTCTGTAATTAGAACGTACAGGCTATGCTAATTATTTGATAATTACCTAGCCACTCATTAAAAGCAACTTCCCCTCCCCCCTATCTCAGTCCAGAATTTCAAAGGAGTGCTGCAGCCTGGTCACTGGAGTTGGTGTGTTGTGTAAAGAATGCAGACAGCTCACTTCATGAGATCATCCACATTTTGGAACCCAGCTGTGAACTTCTTGGCCTGGAGGAGTTGACATGGCTGAAGAGATACAGCAACTTTCTCACAGGCTGAAGGAAGAAATACGTGTGGGGGTGGGATTGGGATACACCCTCTCCACTTCATTTATAGTTTAGCTATAGTCTGTTTAGCTTAGTCAATGATTTCCTTCGGCTGCTAGCATGCATCAGGAGCAGTTACTCTACACTTTGAACGCGTCCTGGGCCCCAGTCCTGCCAGCACTGCAACCTAGTTTTCTGAATGTGCTAGAATATGTCCACAGGCTTCAGTGCTGTAAACATGCCTGAAGTAAAGGGCATAACTGCCCTTGCCTGCTGGACTATGATCCTTCCTGCATTTCCCTGCCACTCCCAACACCTGGAGCAACGTAAGGATAAGAAAAAGGGAGTTCTTACCTAGCTGGCATGTTTTGCCAGTCCACTGAGGTGGGCAAATACACTTAAATCCATCAACTAGATCTTGGCAAGTTCCTCCATGACCACATGGATTTGGAGAACAATCATCAATATCTGTAATACAGATTAAGAAGAAGCTTAGCTCTGTTACCAAACAGGTAATGTCAGTAAATGATAAATTTGATGAACGGTTGTTGTCACTAGGATTTGCCCTGAGGAACAGAGAGACAAGAGGGCTTTTGGGAAAAAGCCTCCTTAAAAAAAAGTTTTAAAAATAATAGTAAGAAAGGGGCATTCACAGCACAGGGAAAGAAATTTACACCGCTAACCACACACAAGTGGAAATCAGATTTGTATACAAACCAGTATTTTAACTTGACAGCATGCTACCAAAATACTGTGTATTCTACTTCACTCTAGAAACTGTTGACCATTTTTTCCCCTTGCGTTTAACAAAAACCTCAGCACCACAACATTAAATAGCTGATAAAGACCAATGCTAAAGCTGGGAAACATTAAGTAGGCTGTCTTGCATGTCCACCAGGTATTAGGAAGACAAATGTAGAAGAGCAAGCTAGCACATGTTAATACAATTTTGAAGGGACTTACTATCAGTGCAAGTCGGTCCAGCCCAGCCAGGTGCACACACACATTCAAATCCTGTAGACGTTTCTAGGCAGCTTCCTCCATTGTGGCACGGATCAGAGAGGCACGCGTGCTCCGCTGCACCAGGACAGGAGTACATTATGATACAGACTACAGCAGCATCACAAGAAGCCATCCCCTGCTCCCGCTACATGCTTCTACTCTGGACATCCACCAGCACTTGATGTATGGTCCTGCTGAGCCAACTGTGAATCAAAGCTACTACCTACTAGAAAGTCATCTTCCACGATGCTTATCAACACCTCGACTTGCACCTGTTTGAGTCAGAGCCAAACTAGGCAACTTGTAGTGATCTCTCTGGTGAGCAGAAGGCTGATTTTCAGAGATACAAGCTGATGAAGCGTGAACATGCAAGTCTCATCTTTATAGCCAGCCCTGACATTAGACTAATATTAGAAAGTGACTTCCCCAACCTCATAAAATCCCCAAACAGCAAAATAATTAACTACCAGTGGCAGTTCAAGGGCTGCATCACACACTTACCAATTTCACAGTTCTGTCCAGAGTAGCCCTCAGGGCAGGAACACTGGTATTTATCAGGGCCAGTGTTGCTGCAGGTACCACCATTCAAACAGGGTGGGTGGGTTCCACAGTAGTTCAGATCTGCAAAAAGGTGACGAGAGTTGAAAAGCTGTGGTTTGAAAAAACAGAAATATCACCATGTCTGTGCTTTGCTCTGGAGACTTCATAGAATGCACCTACATAGCAGTAGGACTTGACAAAGCAAAGCACATACACTAACAGTGCCATAACAGCAGAGAACGCACAGCTAAGATGATAGAGGACAAAAAGTCCCACGTTTCAGGAGGCTTACTGTGGGCAGAGCACGTGCACGACCAAGCGAGCAAGTCTGCCAGTGTTAAAATTCAAGTGTTACCCTTGGCTATCTGCAAGATTAGCATACCTTTGTCACAGAGCTGACCACCCCAGTTGGTTTCACAGAGGCATTGCCATGGTTCAATGCAAGTGCCATGGACACATCCTGGGTGTGGAATGCACTTATCACAGTACTGGCCTTGCCATCCATACTGACACCTTTGATTAATAGAAAAAAAATAAAATAAAATATATATAAACATACATCAGAACAAAGAAACAAAAGGGAATCAATAAATGAATAGCCCTCCCTCTCCCCCCGGCCCTTTAGAATTATACAGATAGGACTGCAGAACTCCAAAGCTTCAAGAAAGACTGGGGAGGTGCAGTAGGAGAAGGGGAAAGGAGAAGCTATTCAACATTTGTTTGATGGTTTCTTGTAAACAAACATTTTAGTAGTTTTGCCAAGGTCTCTGTAGCTGGCCTCCTGACAAAAGAATAACTGTTCAGAGAGAATCAGCATGAGGCCATTCAGCACAATAATACTCTTTTGGAGCCTCATACAAATGTGGCAGAGAGGGTGGGTGTGCACTACAAATCAATCTCTGGGCTTTGACAGGGTGCATTATAAATTGGAAGGGGAGGAGGGAGTCAGTAGAAACAACAGCTATCCAGAGATCCTCATAAATACAAGGTTCCAGGCATTGCAGCCATGCTGAGTTTGCAGGATGATGAACTGAACCATAAACACCGACTCTGAGCGTTGGCAAGGCAGCAGTACGGCGCTAGGAATTCTCTCCTGCATTGGAACCTAACCTTATTCTGCACTATAACTCATACACAGAAAATACAGATTGGGCCACAGTAAGAGATTAAAGAAAACAGCACACAGCAGGATTCTGAATGTGTTCAAAGATGATTTGTTGCCAATGCATTTCAGAGCTTGATCTACTCTATCCCCTTTCCAGGTTAATAATAAAACATGTCCAATTTTAGGAAACTTGGATTTTCATATTTTGAGAAGAATTTATTATTAAGTATTGCTACTATCAATTGGATTCTGTTCTTAAAAGGAAGATGCTCTTTTAAAGAAAAGCCCTCTTATAAGAAAGTTCATTTAGGCTTTTATTTAGCTCTCACTAGCAAGGCAGACCAAGAATTCTTCAAATTAAAGCTGATCAATAGGTAGAAGCAAGGAAAACAAGTTAGAAGTTAAAAGCAAAGGTTGGTCGAAGTACTACATTTCATTAAGAGGTCCTAAGAGTAATTGATCAGCAGCAATTATGCGCTAAGCTGTCACTAAATTATGAAAATAAACCCCTTCTGTACAGAAGTCAGCTAATCTTTCTATTTATAATACCCCCCTCCCCCCGTTCTTTTACAGGCAATTTCTTCTCATGGGAAAAAGCTAGAGGAATCTATCCAATGGGTAATCACACACAGCCAGTGGCAAGTCTGACTTCTCAAAATCTCAGGTGACAAACGACATCCTAATTAAACTTTTTTTAATAGCTATTTCAATTGCAGCCTATTCAGGGTCAGTGGGAAAGTCTTAATAGTTTGTGTATAAGAAAATAGCTAGTCCAACTTATGTTTCTTTGTGTGCAGAGAACATGAAAGAAAGTCAGACCAAGCAAAACGACCTCTTTCAAGTAGCTCCTGGAAAATTCTTCCATAGGGAAGATTGTAATAATATGGAATGATTAAAAAAAAAAAAATTAGAAACATTCCCTTTTAATTTGTATTGCACTGAAAGCAAATTGCCTATGAGCTTGCATGGTGGCAAAACTAATGGACCTCATCTGCAAAAACAAGCACGCAAACCTAGAATTTTACTCCTTCCTGACAAATTAGAAGTTGTTTTGTTTTGTTTAAATTCATTTTCTTTGAAGCAAATTTAAACAGAAGTAATTAAAAAAAAGAAAACACACACAAAGAGCATAAGCTGTGGAGCCAGAGATAGGCCTTTCTTCAGTCAGATCAACTTCAAAGTATAACAAACAAAATGGGACAAACTCTATGGGCGTAAAAAAAAAAAAGTTAGGTATCAATTCCAGAACAAGACTGTGGTAATAATTCCTGTTTAATAATATGTATGCAACAGTTTCTTATGAGAAATACAAAGTTAACTTTCTCTATATAATGATCCATGAGTAAATTTGGGTTTGTTGGCAGACCTGCGTTGAAGAAAGTAACTTGCACCAAGTGAGAAAAGGATATTTTAAGAATGTTTGCAAGTTGTCTGTTGTACCAGAACCCAGAGCAGTTTCTGCTAGGATGTTATTTTTAAACTGTTGCATTTGTAACATACAGGCCATATGACTCATCAAAACTTAAAAGAAAATAAAATCTTGTTTCTGTGTTCACTTTAAAGATATTGGTCTGACTTGGCAAGCAGAAGTTATCTGAAAGCACCAGAAGGACAGCATTGTTTCAAGACTATGCAAATCAAGTGTGGGAAAGTTGCACCTTAAGTAAATAAGAGCACTAGTGCATGTCTGGGCAGTGAGTGGGAGGTAAGAGACTTAGAAAGAGAAAGGAAAAAAAAATCTGGAAACAAAGCCTGTTGTTCTAACTAGGAGACAGCAACCCTACAAGGCATGTTTATTCTGATGACAGAAGCACAAAATCACTGGTGGCCTTGACTGACACGCTCCTCTCACCATCTGGACCCCCAGTACTTCCTATCACTTGCTTGGCTTTTTTTTTTTTTTTTAAATTGCAATATATCCATGTGGTGCTTTGGAGGTTTACCAGCCCATATCAGCACTGCTCGACGTTTAAATCTCCTAGCATAACCCAGCATAAGCCCATGCCATGGCTTGACTTTCACTTTGTCACGCTGCTCGCAGAAGACGAGAAGTTACTTCCTACCTTACTTGCAGAAAGTTCCTTGATGAAATTGTTTTGTTTTAAAACACAGATTACAGAGACAGTGCTCTGTGATTATTTAGGCTGACCTTTTATATAACACAGACTGTCAGACACCTCAGATTTAATTCCTGTTTGAACTACAGCTTATCTAGAAAGAAAAGCAGCTCACTTCACGCAAACATTTCCAGCAATGGAGAATGCAGCAGTATGTTTGTTAAGCAGAAAAAAAGACTTCTGTTCCTCCAGATTTCGGTGTTTTACTCACGAATAGCCAAGCTTCACTTTTAACCCTTCCTACACAGAATCAATATTGCTCCTTTGTAGCCTAAGAAGTGCTGAGCTCCCTATTCCTTAGACACAGGCATGAGAAAGGGTTATGTGAAAACAACCAGTCTGCTCATAAAGAATGAGGACGTTTTAATATTTGTTAACCCTGTATTAGTAATTGAGAAAACCTCCCTGTGTCATAAATATATGCTGTATATTTTGAAGCACTCCAAATATTTAGTTGTTGGTTTATGGATAAACTCTGCTTCTCATTGTGTCCTTGCCAGGACAGAATGGACTTCAAAGCGCAGCAGCAGAATTCTACATTCATCAGAGCCTACTGACAAGATTTCATCCCAGCTATTAACCTCTCAGCACTCTGAGCCTGGCTCACAATGGTAAAAGAACAGAAAGATTTAACTAATCCTATTCTAAAGAATGCTTGACTTTTGCCTCTGATGGAAGAAAGCAGGGGTGGGAGGGAGAAAGGGGGAAAAATGTGAGTGAAAGAGAAAAGAGAGAAAAGCCACACTGTACTTCAAGCTAGTAGTTGAAACAGCCTATTAATCAGGATATTGGAGGGGAAAAAAAAAAAAACAACCAAAAATAAAAACTAAACAAAAACCCAACCCATAAGGCATTTGCACTATTTAGCAGAAGCAATTAGTCAGTGCTCATTAGGCAGTATTCACTTGATTTATTCCACTTCTCCCCCAGCCCTCAAAATGCCACCATTTCACAAACCAAAAGCTTCAAATTATCAGTGCATTAAAAGCCTGCTCCCCCCCTTGTTCTGGGCAAGTCTGCATGAATAATATGCCTTGCTCAAAAATATGGCTCCGAAAATACCCTCCCTCCACAATCCTACTGTGTTCAGCATCACTCATGTAATTGCTTGGTGGGGACAAGGAGAGAGAGAGAGAGGGGAGCATTTACCTGCACTCTCCTGGAATTGTGCAAGAGCCATGCTTGGGGCTACATCCCTGACGACAAATAGCTGTTAAAAAACAGAACAAAAGAACATCAGCATGCAGCCTGCTTTTTGCATCTTCACACTGGTGGGAAGGTTTTAATCTCTAACCACCACTGTAATCCCACTAAATCCAAGGTTTTGACACGTCCCTCATATCAAGTCTATTAGAAAATGAAAAAATAAATAAAGTAGGTGGCTCCTTGTGATATAAAAACTGTCAGCTAGATTTACAGAGAAATCATACCTAGCACTGTTCAAAGAGTTGTTTCTATACAAAAGAAACCATTTCACCTTTGAGCTGCAAGTCACCGAGTCTACAAGTTTATTTTCCTCTGTGGTGAACTGGCGCACTCTGCCTATCTTTACATCTAATTCAAAGCAACTTTTTAACTTCTCTTTACACTTGAGACCTATCTCTGAACAGACAGGATATTAAGATGAGCGTCTATTCAAATTGCAGTTAAACTCAGTCAGCAAGACATGCTGATAGACTGTTCCTATTCACAGTCCTGCTTTCTCTTTCTGAAATTACTTAGGAAGTTGCCATTCCCTAATAAACATGCTGAACATCAGCTCAGGTAGAACAAACACCTGGGGACTTTTCAAAGACCAAAGCTTCACACTTGCCAGGTCAGCTCTGAAACAAGTCTCTCCTTCCTGCTTGTCTTGAAGTTCTGCACCAAAGGGGAAATCCTGCCATTGAAGTCAGCAACAGAACTCCCATTGAAGTCAGTGGGCTGGGTTTTCTTCCCAAGGGCAAAGATGTGGATGCTCAGAGAAAGAATACATCTGCTAAGCACCCAGTACTAGCAAGATCTCTCCAAGATTTTAAAAACAAGGCAGAAACTAGTCTTGTCCTGCCCCAGTGCAACGAGTTACTCGTATCCCATCAGTCCTCAGCCCTATTGTCAACACAAACTGATCACTAAATTGCAACTTGGATACAAAGAACTCAAGTCCTATCTGAGCCTACTGATAATCCATGGTTCAGGCACTTGTCACAAACCTTTGTTGCACTCTGGTCCCATCCAGCCTTCCAAGCAGGTTTTGTTGCCATTCTGGTCACAGGTATGGTGAGTGAAGAAGTCATCTCTCGGTCGACAAAATTTGTTGCATCCAAAGCCATAGTAATGTTCTGCACAAGTCACACGGATTTGATACTCAAAGTGGGCAGCTCCTGTGTTATGTTTCAGTGTCTGCCACTGGCGGCTTGGATTGATCATGCCAGAGTGGGATGCCTTCTCAATTATGCGATCAGGATCTAGATGTTAAAAGAGACACCGGAGTTAAACCTTTGTTTATGTATCATTGCCTCCCATTACATATCTCTAGCTTAGCAGACAAGACTCTCCAAGATAGCCAGCTGGTTTTATTAACTTTCCATTTTAGAGAGTAAGATAAGGCTGCCCTGGAGCTACAGACCAGTAACTGAAATGCATATACAGCCTATAAAGCCAAATAAAGCTGAAAGTCAGAAGGAACTGATAGCTTACTGCCCATCGCTTATCCCTTTCTCAGCATCCAGACATCCCATAAGAATCATAGCATAGAATGTTAGCGATTAAAGAAGATTCAGCTCCTCTTTCTCCAAGCTCCAACAGGCCGGTACGTAACGCGGCTCGCCCTGCTCCTCCATTATTGGTATTGATTTCATTTTTAACCGGAATGTTTACAAAAAAGTCATATTACAAAATCCTAATAAAGCAATGTCCACAAACTGAACATAAGTGCTACCAAATCTTTGCTGCCTTCTGGGATTCTGGTGTAAACACGATATTGAAAACTAGCAACTTTGGACTTTGGTCAGCATCCACGAGTTTTGGCTGAAAAATGCCATGAAAGTTCTCCCCTTCAGATATTAGCTGACACCAAAAATTCAAGACGGCAAGGACTCCAAAAAGAGAACTCAAATTATGGGATATATTTGCTACACAATCCCCTTCTCTCAATAGAGCATTTCAAAGTTTAGACTTTGTACTTGACATTTAGTTCCAGCAAAGGTCTTCTGGCTTTCTGAGCCCTACAACTGTCTAAATTATGGCTTGAAATAATAATATTTCACATTAGCTTGGAACATTGTATACGTCTGTGGTATTTCACTTTGTAGTTCAGGTCTTGTGACTTAAATGATCTGACACTGTCTTACGACACGCTGCTAGCAAGCACTTGACTGCCGAATTGAAGTTTATCATAAAACAGCCAAAATATCCTTACAGACATAGTAAAAAAACAAAAATAAGTACCAGGCTACATTGTTCTGTATATGAGACCATAATCCAGCCACAGGAAAAGTTTAGGTGGAAGGGCAGTTTGCCAAAGATGTTACAAAGCGGCATGGGAAGTACTAGCACGTTCAAGTGTGAAGAACTGAAGTGGATTCACATTCAGTTAGTTCTTCTGACAAACACAAAAGAAACCCTGGAGATTTTATGGAAGAGCTGAAGACTAATGAAGCTGCTACAACACTTGACATAACACACGGGCAGTATTTAACGTAAAACACTTCTAAATGTATTGCTAAAGTCTTTTGATTTTTAGCTTTCAAAAAGAACATCCAGACAGGCTTTGCAGGACTGATACCTACTGTCACTCCATCGCTAGATCCTGCCTACTTGTCTATAGTTTTGAGAATCAAAGCGCTTGCTCCCCAACCACAGAACAGTGTCTATATACGTAAGTAAGCACTTACCACTTTTTATGAGTCTTCTTGGCTCAAGTTTCCAGCATTCACTGTTTACAGTGTGAAATTAAGGGCAACAACTTCTAATGCATCTTCTGGTATTTCTCGTTTTATATTTTCCAATTAAATCCTTTTTTTTATTATTCATTGGCACTAAGTCCCCGATCTCACATCTTTGCAGAAGACTTTCAAAAGCATGCAGGCTTTTATTAATTTAGATACCTAAGGACTTTCCATACTGGTATATCCAGAGCAATATCATGCCCTGTACTGTGCAGGTGTAAGGCTCTTAGATCTCATCAACAAGATTACTAATTCTAAGAGGTACTTAAGCAGATGCATATCTATTTGCCTTGAATGGGGCTAGTCAAGCGATTACAGTTCTACTCATGCGTGCTGGAGATGGCTTTGCTGCACTTGCCAAGATTACACCCTGATCTACAGCATAGCTGGAAAGGGAATACATTTCCCCAAATACTGAGTGTGTGCATAAAGACATCCTGTTTCTTGCGAGTAAAACAACTCTATTCCTCTTCTCCTCTGAGTAGCAGAAGGGAATGGTGCTTAACTTAGTGCTGCACACCCTCCCACTTGTTTCTCCAGACTTTTCCTGTTCTCTGTGAGGAACGTCACACAGACAACTATTTCAGTCCTTGGCACCAGAAAAACAATCACCTTGGAAAAGAGATCTTGCCTCTGCTCTATCATTCTTCCCCTATCTGTCAGCTCATTAGTCCTTGTTGTACATCTGTGACACCAATTCCTCTGAGTTCAGCCTGTGGATAAGAGCTCAAATGGAAACACCCTTTTTAGTCCACTGGACTTCATTTCGTTAAGGACACAGATGAAAGCCAGCTGCAATTTCACTTTGAATCACAGCTAAAATGCCTTTGATTTGATACACGTTATAAAGCTACTACCACACAATGAAATTCAGTCTGACAAACTTAAGATCCCTTTCCATTAGCCATCACCCACAGTTTTCACAATGAAGTATTGGCATGTTCCTTCTTGTGTAAGGATTTCTCCACCCTTCCTTATTCCCACCTGTCAGTATGCACTTACACAAGCGTGCTGACCCAGACTTCAGGGAAGGCATTGCAACAACTCTTCCATTCTTAGCCTGCACTGACAGTGTTTTTAAGTTTTAAAGTGTGCAACCCCAAAGTAGCAGATTGGCTACTAAAACAAGAATTCAATCGGGCTTGAAAGAAAGGGATCTTCATAATTCCCTTGACATCATCAGACTAAAAATCCCATGCTTTGATAGAAAGATTAGAGGAAACATAATTCAATTAGAAATTGACGAAGCGGAAGAGAGTGGCTTTCTGTACATCTTTAGCTTCCTCTCAGCACTTTGCTGTCACAGAGTTGTTTCCCTTTGCTTTCTGTGGCTAAACTTTAAAGCTATTAATCTGTCTGTTTATTCAGTGAGCAACTCTATCCAACTTTCTAGCGAAATTAGCTATTTTTACTGCCTGTCTTTGCCTTTCAGTGGTCTAGTTTCTGGAAATTACAGCTATCAAGCATCAGGAAGCAAAACCGAACTAAACAACCAAAGAAATCCACTCTAAGCAGTTTGGGTGGCCAAGGACAGCATAGTTATTTTTTAAAGTTTCATTTCAGACAGTTTCCAGCTATGGCTTGGTTTACATTGTGCTGAAATCTCTCATGCCCAACTGGAATTCACATGCAACTGATACCAGTAATTTACAATAGCTCTTTGACACAGCTTGAGATGCAGTGGCAGCCCCATTAGCTTTGTGTTTGAAGCGACAGTATCAAGATGGAATCTAGAGAAGAACAAGAGTAAGGAAACTATTTACATTGAATCTTGGCTCCAGCAAAGCATGATTCTCATCAACTTCAACAGGGCCAGAATTTAACTGCAAGACACTCTTGGAAGTGAGACAAGAGAGAGTATGTGATGGAGGGAACGTAGGAGGAGTGGAATGTAGAGAGGGGAAGGAAGCATCCATTCTAGGATCTCCTAATGACTACATTGATCAGAAGATGCTCAAACTATTGCAAAACACACAAAGCCTACTAAACTCACTTTTTTGAGAGCTACCAATTCAGTAGTAATTAGTGTGAAAGAAAATCTTGGGTTTAAAAATAAAAAGGCTCATCACTTTATATGATGACAATTGCTTAGTTCTAATTATTTCCTTAGCTAGATCTTCACAACATTCTTTAGCTATGGGAAAGCTGACTGTAAGTAAAGTCAGTTTACAAAGAAAAGGCTTTGTGCAGTACTGTGACTGAAGTGACCTACAGATGGATGTACA